CTCTTCCGATCTTCGATTTGAAAAGTGGAGATTTCAAGCTATAAAATGCTTTTTTTAAAATCTCGTTACAATAATTTTTCACAAAGTTGCTCTATCTTGAAATTTTTTTTCGCCAATTTTTTTTTACTGAGTTATTTAACATTGAAGCATAAATAACCTTTGTTCAATTTTTACTCAATTTAATACTCAAGACGTGATCAGCTTTGAATGAAGACGTATTGAACACATCTACAATTTCGAAATTTGTGGTCTTTCATCACCTAACAAAAAAATTGGCGAAAATAATCATTGGTACTATCTCAAAGTACAGACTTTGCCCTTTAAAATGAAGAAAAAAAACTTTTCTACGCCGATTATTTAGCGAGATATTGCAGATTTAAGTAACTTTTGTTTTTTTACGATTTTAGAATGATATCGCCGGCATTTGCGTAACCCGATGTGCACCACAGGGAGGTTGCTCGGTCGGATTTTGCACAAATTTCGGCATGTCAGCACCTGCAGTTGATTCAGAAGACTATAAAATGATGAATTGCCTAACGCAAATGTGGACTGATTTTGCTAAAACAGGGTACGAGACATTCATTTTCTTCTTTTCAAACTTTAGATGTATCCATTTAATCACGACATTTCAATTTTATTAATCGCATAGTAATAATTAATTCTTAATCTGATTTAGAAATCCAACGCCTGCTACAAATATGTGGGTACCGGTAACTGATTCGCAACAAGGAAAGTATAATTACCTAAATATTGATAAAAACTCGGAAATGAAGGTCTTCTGTAAAGGAGAAGAAAGATGGGATTGGGAATAGAAGAAGAATAAGGTACGACGCTAGAACTTTACCTACATCAAAATTGAATTTTTCTCGATATCTTTTGCATATGTATAATAAATATTTCTTCGTTATTTTTCAAAGATATGTTTTTGAATTAACGGTATGTAGGCACTATTGTTATTCTCCTTAAGTTCAAAATAGGTTTTAGTTAACGAAAATATAAGGATTAATAGTTTTCGAATTATGATATATAAGGAACAAAAAGTTTTTCATGAATTAAAACTTAAGAAGTACTAGTAAATCATCCAACTTTATTTGTCGATGAATGTTATATCAATGTACAAATGTAACTTCAATTGAACATAGACTCCAAATCCTCGTTAAAATTAATTAACTAAACCAAATAACTAAAGCAAATAAAATTTAAAAAAATATATTGTTATACATTATTGTATTAAATTTTGTGTTTTTTTCTGTTGTTAGTATACATAATAGGGTACAGCGGGGTAATTTGTACAGTAGAGTAATTTGGATAATAGTAAGCATTTCATATCAATAGTAAGAATTTCAGAAAAATAAAAGATTTTATGATATCAAACATATTAACGTAGAAGCTGTATGCGAACTATCACGGATGATGGTGTGTAATAATTTCTTTTTACAATATCCAATTACATGCAAACTGCGCACCGCATGTTTGTCGCGTACTAATGTGTTAGTATAAATTATTCCTCTTTGCTCTCTCTCTCTCTTTCTAAGGTTACAGTATTATAATCTCCGACGTTATTACGCGAATTGTCATTAATAAAGTGTGTGATACGGTTATAAATATCTGTTCCAACAACACATCCGCACATTCCAAAGATCAGTTCTTACTCTTAAGCACATATAGAATTGTCTCTTGACAATCAAGAGAAATGCAGAAAAATAGATGGTATTAAGCTGCGCACATATATATCGTAGCCGTGCGATGTACTTAATCAAGTGTACAGTACTTTTCATCTCGTTCCATGAAACGAAATCCTCTCTATCCTTCAAAAGGCCATCCCCTCAAACGTACACTACCGCCGATCATCAATCCATCTGAATATATACATAAGTGCATCAGATACCTAATATATTAATATCAAGAATATGTATATCATTCTTTAATTGTGAATTATAAGGAATTTTACGTACCATATTATGGATCTATTTGAATTGTATACGGTTTCTTATATTTTCTGTATATTTGTTAAGCATATCACAATCTTGCAATATATCATCTTTCTCCAATTCAGTTATAAGTATGTTCCTGTTATTGATATTTTCGTTTTAAATATGTCTAAATAGAAATATTTAAGCTATGATATAATTATACTTTTTAAAATACTTTTGTAATTGTATAATCCATTGTACATACCTCGTTTCATCTGGGGTGCTACTGGTGCCACTGGTGTTATATTGGTCTAGAGTAGGCTCAGTATTTACATCATTATCCACAGTTGTTACAACACGACATATTCTTTTTGGTAGCAAATCTCTTGGAGGCCTTATTGATACAGATAAATATTTACATATCATTAAATATGCAGTATTTTCATTTTCCTTCATTTTAATTTTATAGCAATACTTACCGTGGCCTTATTATTTTTTTTGGCGTTTTATTAGGTTCGTAAGTTGAAGAATTTGGCGTTTTATTAGGTTCGTAAGAAGTTGGAGAATTGTTAGAAGATTGCTGACTATCACAATTAGATAGATTTTCTTCTGTTTCACTTTGTACTACTGATGAATTGTCTCCTAATGGGGTGCCAATCATTCTATCTTGTGATACCTCATTTATATTCCTTGTTGAAGACCTATATTTACGTATTATTAAACATGTTTTATAAATAAATATAATGTATGTGACGGTTCGCTTTTCTTGCGCTCGGATATGCTTATCGGGCCAGGTAGGCAAGAAAGCGTGAGACGACCAAACGCGTGTTAGCGTTACTTTACCGAGGTTCAGAGAGACGGTCGGCGGGACTAGTCGGCGGTAGATCCGGCGCTCCGAGCGGTTCGGTCGGTAACGGTGGAGCGGGCGCGGATGTCCTCGATGGTCGATTGCCGTGTGGCACTTAGGCGCAGCGAGATCGATAGCTGGTCTATGTCGGCCAGACGCCCTGGCCCGACAGAGAGGAGAAGCCAGGCGCCCTGGCCTTCTCTGTGCGCACGGTGTTGGTGCCAACGGGATGCCCTGATCGGGCGGAAGGCGAAGAAGCCAGGCGCCCTGGCTCTCTTCGCTGAATGCAAGAGATGTGAAGAAATCAGGCGCCCTGACCTTCTTCGCAAGGGACGCAAGGAAGCCAGGCGCCCTGGCTCTCCTCGCAAGGAACGTGAAAAAGTCAGGCGCCCTGACTCTCTTCGGAAGGAACGTGAAAAAATCAGGCGCCCTGATTCTCTTCGCAGGAGGAACGGTCTCGACAGGAGTAGGTTCGGGACCGGACTGCCGTCGCTCCGCGGCGGCGGCTTATATACCCCCGCCGATGGGCTTCGGCGAGGGCTGCGGAGAGGGGTCGCTCTCCCGTAACACGCTCGGCGCGCGTGTTTAGTCGGAGTTGTGGCGCTGAGCGCCAGGGGCGGCTGGTCGGCCCCTTGTGGTGACGAGGCGGGGGCGTATCGTCACATCACCCTCCCCCCCCTCTTAAGATGCGGAGACCTCTACGCACCAGATTCCCCTCTGGTCGGTAGCTCCCTTATCGCCCGGATGCCACTCTGGTGGTCGAACCGGATCAGTCACCATCCCTGGGCATTCTCGGCCCGGTATCTCCGGTTCCGGAATACCGCCGAGTATGGCATCAGCACCGCTTCCCCGCGTGGCAGAGGCACTCTCACTGCCTCGGCCCCGCGGTGCGCAGGTACTGGTGGCGCCCTGGTGGGTGGTGGTTGGGCGCGTACTCCAGGGCCGATGGTGACGGCGTGGCACGTGACCGGCCTCGGTGGGATCGGCGGCTGGCTGCTGGCGGACAGAGTCGTCGGGCGGATGGCCCTTGAGCAGCCGGTGGAGTGGCTGCGGCCTTGGCCAGCACGGCTTGGCTCGACTTCTCCCGCCCGACGGTCTTATGGGCCGGGGCGGGCGCCGGTCGTCGGGGCATGACTATCGCTCGCTATCGGTACCGGGACCGCGGCTGCCTCGGTGGTGGTGGCGTCGCGAGGAACTGGGCCCGTCGTCGGGTTTCCGCGTCGCCCCGCTGGATGTAAGTACCCACTCGTAGTACCGGCCGGCGGTTGTCAGCATCGGGGCTGGTGGTCGGCCCCGGCTCTCTTGGCGTCCCGGTGCTATTGCGGGTGGTTACCGGTCCCGGGTCTTTGGTCCGGTTGTCCTCGTCGTCACTCAATTCCAGGTCCTGGAGGAGCTTGGCAGAGACAAAACCTTCCAAGATGTCGCTCATCGTCACGGTGCTTACCCGTAGGCCTACTCGTAAGCTGAGCGAATCGTTCGGTCATCGACCGCGCGGCTCTATTTATACTTGGTTATTTGCGGCGGCTCGGCCTCGCCGCACGCATTCCGTACCATTGACGTCACGGTCGGCGGGCGTGACGTCGGTACCGTCGGCAATGTCGGTAACGTCGGCAATGTCGGGCGCGTTCTTGAGGTTCTGTACGTGGATGTGGCGCTGCCAGCGCCCGCGGGTGTCCCGGAGATCGACGATGACCGGTGATACGATGCACCGCACTTCCTAGGGGCCGCTGTACCGAAGTGCCAGTTTCGCGTTGAAGCCAGTCGCCTTTTTGGAAAGGGGGTGTTCCCTTTTCCACACGAGCTCTCCAACCTTGGGCCTCTAATTGCGTCAGCGCAGGTTGTAGTGCGCCTCTTGTTTCTGGAATGCTCGAGCCATATCGATTATGACAACTTCAAAGGCTTCCTCTAATCGGCGTTTGATCGCCCGGGGTGCTTGGCCCTCTCTTGGTCGGCGGTCGTCCGATTGGGGCAGGGCAAGCTCGCGACCGTGGTTGAGATACGCGGGCGTGTAGCCGGTGGTTTCCTGGCGTGCGGTGTTGTACGCGTATTGTAATGGAAACAGATGTTCGTCCCATTTCCGGTGATTTTTGCCCACGTACATGCTGATCATGGTCTTGAGCGTCCGGTTCGTGCGCTCGACCGGGTTGCAGTGCGGGGCTCGGACTGGTGTGGTTCGGTGGCGGATCCCAAACGCCTTGAGGAGCTCTGCCAGTTGCGTGGATTTCAGCTGAGTCCCGTTGTCGGAGATAATTTGCTCCGGGCACCCGTGCCGATAATAGCGCGGGTGACTGCTGGCGCGGTGGCTCGGCTCAGCGGTCGTAGTTCCACCCACTTGGTGAACCGATCCTGCATCACCAGCAGCCAGGTATGTCCTTGCGTTGACCGGGGAAGCGGTCCGATCAAGTCCAACGTGACTTGCTGCCACGGCGCGGTGACGGGTGCGGTGTGCAAGTTCCCGGCCGGTTTTCTGGTCGGTGCCTTGTGTGCCAGACAGACGGGGCAGTGCCGCACGTAGTGGGTGATGTCTTGAAACATTCCCGGCCAGAAATATAGCCTGGCCATGCGTGCGATGGTTTTCGCCACTCCCAGGTGCCCAGCGGTTGGGTTATCGTGATGGCGGCGCAGGAGTTCTCGCCGCTTCTCCCGCGAGACGCACTTTTTCCACTGGTCATTTGGGTCGACTTCCCGAAAGTCCACTTCGTGGAGGACGTGTCGATATAGTCGCCCCTTGTCTAACCGATAGTCCGGGTAATCGGCTGGCTGGCGTTGCAGGCCCATGACGATACGACGGTACCACCCACACTTTGAGGCGCTACAAACTTCGGGTTGTCGTGACAGCGCGTCCGCGACCTTGTTGTCATTGCCCTTCCGATATCGGATGTCGAATTCATATTGCTGGAGCTTGAACATCCAACGTCCTAGTCGGCCCCCCGGTTCTTCCAGATGTTGTAGCCACCGCAGTGACTGGTGGTCGGTCACGACAGTGAATCGATACCCTTCTAGGTATCCGCGCATCTTACGAATGGCCCAGACTACGGCCAAGCATTCCAGCTCGGTGACACTATAATTCTTTTCTGCCCCCTGTAGTATGCGGCTAGCAAAAGCGATCACTCGTTCTCCGTCTTCCAGATGTTGAGTGAGGATGGCCCCGAGTCCGCTTGCACTGGCGTCGATCTGGAGGATGAACCGGCGGTTGAAGTCGGGACAGGCCAGCACCGGGGCAGTGGTTAGAGCGGTCTTGAGCGCGTTGAACGCGCTCTCCTCGGCCAGGCCCCAGGTCCACCGTACCCCTTTCTTGGTGAGCCGTGTGAGGGGGGCGCTAATGACGAGAAATTTGGCACAAATCGGCGATACCAGGTAGATGGTATTAAGCTGCGCACATATATATCGTAGCCGTGCGATGTACATAATCAAGTGTACAGTACTTTTCA